TCTCTGTGCTCTTCTCTCATATGGTTATTGCTTCTTTGTCTTCCCATTTTGACTGCCTTTCTGTGTCTATTTCTATGTATGAAGCAAAGCTCCTAAGTCTCTTAGGTCTTATTAGTGTAGATTTGTGAAGTAGGTGTCCTTGGCACAGTCCTGAGAGGAGTTTAGCTGCAGGCCAAGTTTAACCCAAGCCTCTGCCCCTCTGGGACCACCTGTTAAGATTCAGCAAGCAATCCACAGATGTTGTGCTTATAGTTACCTCAAAAAGCTACACCAAAACAAACAAACAAACAAAACGCAACACCAGAAACCGAGGCTGCCTCCAGTGTGAATCTCAGCAAGGAGCACCTGACTTGCTGAGGACACACCTGGATGTGGCTTGCGTGGGGCCGTGAGTTCGGGGAGGCGGGGTTTCAGGGAATCCTCTGTGCTGAGAGACCTCTGTTACCTAGTCTGATGACCTCACAGCAATGGTGGTGTTGTTTCCATGTACTGGGAGTGGGGAGGGCTCAACAGGGGACAGCGGATATCGCCGGCACTTTTGTATGGAGTGAGTCTCGCCTCGGCCCTCTGACAATGTCTCCCTGTAAGTCCCTGGTGCTCCTTTCACACAGCCCAATTGGCACTGGTTCTCAGAGAGAGCATGTCTGTCACAGTGAAAATCCGCTCATGGACTCAGCCCCTTTAAGAGGCTTTTGCCACTGCCGCTGCCGTAGCCCCCATCGCACTCAGCCACTCAAGACCAGGCAGCCCCATGTCCTCGCCCCATCCTACCTTCTGCCGTTGCAGGGCGATTTCTTGGATTTCTTCCTATTTGTATAGCTTGTTTATCTGGATTCCAGGCGATTTTTCCTTGCTGCTGTTCCTTGTTTCCATCACAACTTTGATTTGGTCGCCAGAGGGATGAACAGAGCCTCTGTCACCTACGCCATTTTTCCCCTCTGACATTTTCTAGTTTGGTTTTTGCAATGTATACAAAAACTATGGGTTTGTATATGTTGCTTTATTAAGTGGCCATGTTACTGACATTAGTTCTAATATTTTTTTTCGTTGAATTTCTCAAATTTTATGAATAGATAAGCATATCATTTCTAGTCTTCGAGTTTTGACACTTCCTAATATTTATACCTCTTTTAGATATGTGTATGTGTTGTTGTTGTTGTATTGGGAAACATTTTCAGAGAAGCATTGAATAATAGCAGTGGAAACAGACTTCCTTGTCTTATTCCTGAATTTAATAGGAATACCTTTAGTATTTTATTGTTAATTATAATGTTGGTTGTTGATTTCTGAAGGGTGCCCTTTATCAAATTAAGGAGTTTCATTCAGTTTCTAGGTTAAAAAATTGGGAGCATTTCTTAAAAATCAATATTGACTAAACTTCGATCAAATGACTTTTCCATATCTTGAGAGTGTATATTTCTCTATTTTATTAATGTAGTAAATTATATTAAAGAACTCCTTAATATTGGAATTCTATTGGATTCTTGAATGAATCCTTTTTAGTCATGTTGTTGATAATTTTGCCAAGTAGTTTAGCTAGATTCCGTACATTTATGTGAAAGTGACATTACCTTATAGTTTTCTTACTTTCTTTTTCTGTGTGTTAAATTTAGTTTTCATATTAGAGTTCTGCTCACATCATAGAATGAATTTTGGAATAAGTCACATTTTTTATGTTCTGTAATAGTGTAGATCACACAGAAATTTTCGTTACTTGAAATTTTGAGGAAATGAGCCTTTAAAACCATCTGGATCTACTGCCTTTTGATAGGAGGCAGGTCTTTGACTACCTTTTTAGTTCTATTTAGAACTTCCTCTTCCTGAATTAATTTTGGTCATTTATATTTTCCTATAGAATTATTTATTTCATCTAGACTTTCAGATATATTGGCATAAAGCATATGGAATTCGTTCAACAGATATTTAATACCACCTTCTATGTGCTGGATACTTTTAATGACCTCTTTAACTATGTTTCTATTATCCTTTTCCTTCTCAAAGTTGTTTATTTGTAATTTTCTTTTATCCCACTTGCAAGATATTTCTCTATTGTACTTATTTTTTCAACTAACCAACTCTTTGTATTATTTATTGAATCTACTGGTTTTTATATTTCTCACTTCTTTAATTTTAGCCTTTATCTTTACCCTTGCTTTTAAATTTCTTAAATACCAAAACCATTGTGCCATTAGTGCTTATTCTTCACGGAGTAGGATAAAATTACATATTTTCTAAGCTTACTACTTTTTGGATTACGTTTTTTGGCGCAGAAAGGGAATGCATATCTCCTAATGCCTTTAAAGTGTTTAATGCCAACCCCACATGATGAACTGACACATTGCTTATATGGCAAGTGAGGAATATATGGACTGAGACTTAGAATACTGTTGCTTATATTTTTAGACATTAAGTGGCTGTTCTTTGGCAGTGATTTCTGGATATGAAGAGATGAAGGTCAAAGTACATATACCAGAGGAGAATTCAAACTGTAGTCTATGTACAACCTTTTTAAAGGGCAAAATAGGTGCATTTACCTTTGTTATTCCTTCTCAAAGTTAGAAGAAAAATATTTTATTCTGCCACAGGGAGATTTCGAAATGAATTCAAAGAGACTTTTCTATACTGTTAAATTCTAAATTGCGTTTCATCTTTTTAAAGTTGCGTGTTGTATCACAAGATGTGAAACTGAGCCTTCATGAATTGGATGAACTTTATGTCATCTTTAAGGTACTGTTCTTCTTTAAATGAAAAATAATACTCTTTTAATAGAATCATTCCGCAACCATTCTTAAATATTTTATCTTTAATTATTTTAGTAGACATGTTTAAAAGAAGAAATTGTTATGAAATTACTTTTTCTGATTGAATGACTTTCCTTTTTTATTTGTTTTTAATAGAAAGAGCTGTTTTTTTCTTATTATTGGTGTTTGAGTTATCCAGTTTTGAAGCACCATGACCCCAGTCTGCCATATTTGGAACAGTATCAGATTGACTGCCAACAGTTCAGAGTGTTGTATCACTTCTTAAGTCCCTGGGCTCATTCTGAAAACAGAGACTCACTAGCTTTATGGACATTCAGATTGTTGGATGAAAACTCTGACTGCCTTATAAACTTCAAAGAATTCTCTTCTGCAATTGGTAGGATGATGTCCAATTTTCTTTTCTAAAGCAAAAAAAAAATGAAGGTACCCCTAGAAATATTTAATATTGCCTATTATTGCCAATTTAGTCAGATTTTTATCAGCCTGAGTTACATTGTCTCCAGCTTTAGCAATTACTGGACCTTCTTCTATGTGGGTTGCTAAATCTAAGTATATTGGTCTCATTTAGCCCCAACCCTTCCAGAAAAGCAAGCTGTTAGATATGGATGTTTTAACGGTTAACACGAAGGAAGAGAATGTCCCAATTTTCCTACACTCAGGCAAATGGATACTTCAGGAGGACTTTCTCCTGAAGTAAAAAATCCAACCACATAGCCTAGAAAAGTAGTAGAGAAATATCCAACAAACATTTTGTACTGGTAGATGGGCCACCAGTTAGTTCTATCATTTCTTTTTTTCCAGAGAGCCCAGCATGTTTTCTTATCAGGGATTGCTCCCTTAAAGAGGAGTTTTCTTCTCAAATGAGGCATAAGGCCATATTTAAAAGCAAAAGGAAATATGAGGTTGGGGGGAGGGAGAGCAGCATTTTATCACTCTGATAATGAGTATTTTGCTTACACACTAGGAAGAGAGAATCTGGCTGACCAGGTGGTCGTTTAACTGTTAGCATGAGTAACAGAAGGTTTCTGAATTCCTATTCTTAGCTAATATCTATATCTTAATCAACCTGTTGCTGGAATCAATTGAATGTTCTTTGGATATGTGACTATTTGCAATTGAATTTTATTGAACAGATATAATGTACAATGGAAGTTTTACTGAGAAGCTTAAGCTGCTTTTTAAGCTGCATATTCCTCCAGGTAAGAGTTTAACAATCTATGATGTGCAGGAGTTGATTCCATTTTAACAAGTATAATTACAGATGTAATTGTATTTTAACAAATAACATAATTTCCAACATGATATAAGGTCATTCTTTTATTGTGGCCTATGGATCACACTACTAGTACTTTTGCTGATACAGTGAAATCTATGAAAAAGTGTCTGAGTGGTTAGTTTAATGATCAAGAGTTTGTATATAAGAACTACCTATCATTTGAATATTGGTATAATGTTGAATTTTTATTGTTATATCAGTAGAGAGTAGAATTTAACTTCAGACAAACTGCAAAACGCGTGAAACACTACAAATTATTCAGAAAAATAAGACCAGGCAGCAGGGATAGTGAACATTTGGAAAAAGAAACAAAACAAAAGCTACCATTTATTGAGCACTTGCTCTGTCAAGGCATTTACTTTATATGCATTCTTATATTTAATTCTCACAATATCCCTGAAAGGTGGTATTATCCTTGCAGTTTTGACAATAAGAAAACTAAGAGTCAGAAAGACTGAATAATTTGCCAAAGATCACACAGCTAATAAATTACATAACTGGAATTCAAACTGAGGTCTGACTCTAAAGCTCAGGTTTCTTTCTACTCTGCTATACTCCTCAGTGTTACCATACTGTTCCAGTTTACAATAAGTGTTTCCTACTGACCTTAAGAGACTACATTTTGCAGGCCTGATCCATATTTTAAGAAAACAGTCTTAGGCTTTAAACTAAAGGAACATGGCAAAAAGTATCTTTTAGCTTAGGTAAAGTAATTCACAAAAACAAACAGCTTTATCAAAAGCTGCACCTGGGATCTCTTTTAGAGTCTTCCCAGGATAGCCGGGAACCATTCTTTACCAGACCAAAAATCTAAAAGCCATCTTTAACTCTTCACACACTCAGATCACAAACACAGCAAAACAAAGGACAAACAACCTAATCATTTAATTATGAAGGACTGTACAGTATCACATCAAGTTGCTGTTAAAATGTCTGATATTGTCATGTAATTAATATACTTCCAGTAGAAGGATTAAAAATTAAAAAAAAAAAAAACACGTATCTGTTAGAGCACTCGACTTCATGTTTTCCTTATCATTGAAGATCTTAAATAACTGAGGTCACATTTTCATAGATTTCCAAATGCCAGATTTTCTTATTTCAACTTGTAATGGCTCTCAGAAAACTATTAAAAGGCAAGTAGGAGAAATAATGGAACTCAAAGTGATCAAGTACTTCTTGTTATTTGGTATACAATACAGTAGTACCACTTCCCCGTTTCTTCACATGTCTGTCTTTTACAGAAACCCATTGTTTAACCCTCTGCCACCAGATTTACTTGACCTATTAAAGGACATATTTTCTGTCCCTCATTATTAGTAAATGTGATTTGGGTTATCTGTTTTCAGCTTATACTGAAGTGAAGTTCAAGGACCCTTCAAAGGGAGATGAACTTTCCGAGGAAGAATTACTTTATTTCAGTCAGCTCCATGGTAAATATCTGTTCAAAAAGGTATCTCTTTTGATGATTAGTCACTCATAGAGTTCTTCCAGGGTTAAATATTCTTTACCCAGCTACCACTGGTAAAAGTTGGGTTAATTATACCTTATTCTTCTTTTGTGCTACCAGAGCACTTAGCACAGTGCTAAATGTATGGTAAATACTCCATAAATATTTGACTGATTGACTAAACAGCATTTTGGGTTTTGATGTATGGAAGTTCTTGTTTACTGAAGAATTAGAAAGAAAGTGCATTTTGTTCCTACTTATGTTAACAGAAATTTCTAAAATGTATCAGATCATTTTCATGCCTTGTTAAAAATACAATGAAGACTATAGAATCTTTGATAATTGAAGGACATAGCTATTATTCAGAGAGTGAATACTTATTATAAATCACTGTAGGTGTAGGAGACAGGGATGAGTCTGTCTCCAAAACATAATTTGGACGTGTTCTGAGGTCATTTTTGTGTCTTTGCTTCTTTTTCATAAACATGCATGTCTTATATAGGGATAAGTCCTGATTAATGTATGTTTATGGTTACCATATATTAGTGTTTGGACAGTAATTTTGAAGAGACTGTACAAATCATCTAGTCAAGTCTCTTAATTGTTTAGATAAGGACTCTGAGTAGTGACTTGTGCAGGATTTCACAATGAATTATTTCCATTAGCTCAGTACTCTGACTTCTAGTATGATTTTTTTTCCTAATAATGAACGTAATACAATTTAATTTGAGGAAAATCACAAAGAAGAAAACCACCTAGAAATAAATACTTAATATTTGGTATACTTCCTTCTAGGATTTTTTTAATATGGATTTTCCTCTAGTGTTCTTTTTACTATAAAAGTTCTTGAATAATTAATTGGTCTTCTAATGATAGAAGGTCAGATCAGCTAAAATTTGCTTGCTGAATTGAAGAAAAGAACATGTGCTTGTAAATCTATATAAAATACTTTAATTTCAAAAGATATTTGTTAAATATTTTACAAAATGTGTTTATCTTCTTTCCCTCTAGTTTCTAAGCCTGCACATGAGAAGGAAGCAGGATCAGTAAAATCCAGCCCTGAAAAAGGTACTATGATCTAGAAATATCATTTAGTATATTAAGTTATCAATTTTGTAAATATGGTTAACTACACAAAAGAGAGAAGCAGATTCCTTTTAAAGGCTATTGATTTGTCCCAAATGGTTTTTCAGTTCCTCTATGTTAGTTTAAAAATTTATTCTTTCTTCTCTTGATACTTAAGTCTCAGAAGTTATAGAAAGTATAGTAGTAAATGACCCATAATCATTTAATTTGATTATTTTAAAGATAAGTATGTTTAATTACAAAAGTAATAGATAATCCTTGTAAAAGAAATTTAAACAGTACAGAAGTTCTCATACTCCCACCCAATACCACCCTGAAGTAAACATAAAAACATTTCGGTTTATATCCTTTCCCATTTCTACATATACACAAACATATATAGACATCTCTCTTTTTTAAAAAAAAGAAATAGTCCATAAATGTTGTTCTACAGTTTGTTTTTTGTTTTTTTTTTTTGATTTTGTGATGTGTCATGGATATCTCCTGTCAGTACATTTGGATCTATCTTATTATTTTTAATGGTTGCAGAGTATTTCATTGTTTGGTTGTACCATAATTTATTTTAATAGCCTAATGCTGATGGACATTTAGGTTGTTTCTAATGATTTATATTGCAAACTATGCTGCCACAAACATTTTTTATACTGACATTTTAGCATATTTTTACACATTTCTTTAGGATAGAATAAATTCATAGAGGTACGAGAATGCTGGATCATCAAGAATATGTACATTTAATATTTTGATAGAGGCTGTCACATTGCTCTCCAAAAGACTATCATTCTTTTTATGTTTTTGAGTAACAGTTAAAAAATAATTGCTGAAGATCTATTTATTTATGACAACTTCCCCAGCTAAGTTGTTCAGTATACCCATCTAATTTTCTAAGAGATTTAAAGTTAATTATTAATGTCACATTAATATCATCTTGATTAAAGTCTTCAAAGGAATGAATGAGTAAGTAGTTTTTCAACTTCTGAAAAAGAGCCGCCATAGACCACTTTAGTATTTGCATATTAAGAGTATCATATAGAAGCTATTTTAAACTTAGCAGTATGCATGAGAACATATACATGAAATCATCAAGCCAGGGTGTACTCTTTAATCTAAAATACATCCTTTTCAGCCTCTCCTCACATCTTCCCTAGTCCCCAAGCTTCCCAAAGTAAAAGTTTTAGTTTAATGGAAATGGAGAAGTATCCTGAGAGCTAGTAGGTGCAATAAAAGGTATATTCAGATAATTTCCTGAATTAAAAAAAAAAGGTAGAATCTTATAACTCAGTGAAATACCTTTCAGTCATAACTATTCTTTTTGAGATTTGGGAAAATATAGTGGGTTGTTTATTATGAAATGGGTTTTTTTATTATTTATTTTTATTTTTAATTAAAGTTGAGATTGAACGTTACATTGGTTTCTGGTATATAGCATAGTGGTTAGACGTTTATATAATTTGCCAAGTGATCCTCCTGATTAGTCTAGTATTCAGCTGGCACTATGCATAGTTATTATAATATTATTGACTATATTCCCTTTATGGAACTTCACATCCTCATTACTATTTTGTAACTACCAATTTTTACTTCTTAATCCCTTCCTGTTTTTCACCCATCCCCTCCCCAACTTCCCTTCCATCTGGCACTCACCAGTTTGTTCTCTGTATCTCTGAGTCTGTTTTCATTTTGTTTGTTCATTTATTTTGTTCCTTAGATATAAGTGAAATTATATAGTATTTGTCTTTTCTCTGTTTGACTTATTTCACTTAGCATAATATCCTGTAGATCTATCCATGTCATTGCAGATGGTAAGATTTCATTTTTTGTTGTTTATGGTTGAGTAATATTCCATTGTATACACGTACCACTTCTTTATCCAGTTTGTTGTTGGGCACTTACGTTGCTTCCATACCTTGGCTATTGTAATTAGTACTGCAGTGAACATAGGGTGCATATATATTTTCAAATTAGTATTTTGGTTTTGGGGGTGTAAATACCCAGAAGTGGAATTGCTGGGTCATAAGATAGTTCTATTTTTAACTTTTTGTGGAACCTCCAAACTGTTTTTCTATGATGGCTGTACCAATTTGCAATCCCACCAACAGTGCAGGAAGGCTCCCTTTTCTCTACATCCTTGCTAACACTTGTTTTGTTTTTTTTGTTTTTTTTATTGATGATGTCCAATCTGACAGGTGTGAGGTGACACTTCATTGTGGTTTTAATTTGCAATTATGAAATGGTTTTATTTCCCTCATTCAGGCAAAGGAAAAGTTGATATTCAAGCATACATAAGTCAGTGGCAGGATGAGCTTTTCAAAAAAGAAGACAATATTAAGGATTTACCAAGAATGAATCAGGTATAGTACTTTCAAAGAAAAGATTCTAGGTTCTTGTTTTTATTTTTATGAATGTGGATGTATTCAACTCTAAAATAGCTAACATACTATTGCAGAAATAGTTAAACAATCTGTGTATCATTTCTAAGTTACAGACAAGCACAGAAGTGGGGGATCAAATTTTTTTAACACTTAAATGCATCTAGTGTTTCAGTGTAGGTCCTCTGCTGTGACAACATTTGTACCTATAGAAAAGATGGAGATACATACACACACACGCACACGCACACACACACATACACATATTTCAGTGTTTTCTCTTTCCAGCTTTATTAGAAATGTTTATTTATTTAGTAATGTTTATTTATTTATTTCCAGCTTTATTAGAAATGTTTATTTATTTAGAAATGTTTATTTATTTTTAGTGCCTACTAGATGACATGCCCAATTGTAGGTACTAGGAATAAAAAAATTACTAAAATAGGTTACACCCTGGAATTCTAATATCTTGTATTTGATTTTTTTTTTTTTGGTTTTGCTTGTTTTTTCTCTCTTCTTTTTTTTCTTTTCTAATATCTTGTATTTGAATCTGCTCAAAATGTACTAATGACTGGTATTGATGCAATTCTGCACTTATCTCTCTCTTACACACTACTCAGCCAGTATATATTCTTATATTTTTTAAATTAAAATTTGTTGGTATAGACACTGAGGATTCCCAGAACTTTACCAATGTGAGAACTATCAAATAATTTAGTATTTCTCAGTGGACTAGGTAATTTGATAGCTGAATACATACATTTTAAAATGAATCAGTAAGATGTATTTATTCTAAACTTTTTATAAATAAACTACAGACTATGGAAAAAGAAGTAAAACAAGTTTGGTGCAATATATTTTTATGAAGTATATCTTTTGTATTTGCTTTTTATTTACAGATAAACTTTTCTGGTAGAATTGACTTATAGGACTCGCGTTAGAATTTTTTTTTAAATTGACAGATATCTTCTGGGAATGTTTATAGATTATCCAGGGGCAATTAGCAAACAATCCAGATTATTTTTCTACTTGGGCTCCACCTCAGCCTTTAAAGAGAAACATATCCAAATGGGCTCTTTAGAGCTACCTTGGACTACTAGATAGGTCCCAAAACATTCTTCCCTAAAGTTTAGTTGTCCTAGTTGAGCTACCCACTCTAGCCCTTTGAGGAGACCAAAGGGATCTCATCTTAATCTTTTCATTAAAATTGGTTAATGAATGAATGATCCACACATAGAGAAATATGGGACTTTGTCTAAATAAAAGTTCCACCTAGCATTGAAGAAATGGTGGCGGGCAAACTGTGCAGAAATCATTATGTGTGTGTGTGTGTGTGTGTGTTGATATGTATGTATGTATGTATGTATGTATGTATGTATGTATGTATGTAAGTAATATACTGCTTTTAGGCAACAAATGAGATGACTTAAATGGAATTCTTTTCATGATTGATACCCATCTTTCTAAAACCAAGATTAATTCAGGGATCAATCATCAATTTTATAACTTCTGTGGTGAAGGTTATATGGTACAAATTCTAAATAGGAGACAATTCACTTCTAATTTCTCTCTATATTTGCTAAATCTAACACCGAATGTGATATTTCTAACTTGTGTCTTCTAGTCACAATTTATTCAGTTTTCGAAGACCCTTTATAACTTATTTCATGGAGACCCTGAAGAAGAATCATTATATCAAGCCATTGCTGTTGTAACCAGCCTTTTGCTCAGGATGGAAGAAGTTGGAAGGAAACTACATAGCCCTACATCATCAGCCAAAGGATTGTCTGGTACAGTTTGTGCTTCTGGAGGACCCAGTGAGGGGAAAACAGAGAGCAGCTTGGATAAAGATCCCTCCTTGCTCAAGGAAGAACCTCAGTGGTCATTTGCATTTGAACAGATTCTTGCATCTTTGTTGAATGAACCAGCGTTGGTGAGGTTTTTTGAAAAACCCATAGATGTAAAAGCCAAACTAGAAAATGCAAAAACCTCTCAGTTATGTTCTAGAACCAAGATGTAAATCTCTTAACAGGAATTGCCTATCAGACAAGTTTACTAAGATTCCTAGTTGTCAGTTTCTGGGATTAGAAATCAGGGATTTATCTTGCTACCAATGTATTTAAAGGTTTAAAAAAGATATTTAGAAGAACAATGATTCATTCCTTTGTGGTAACCTCTAATTTTGATATCCTCCAACAAAAATGTACTTTTTATACTTCACAAGATATGCAATATCGGGAGAGTATGCTAATTGGTACCACCGGAGGGCACCACTATGTCACTTTTAGTAAGGAAATTACTAGTTTGTGCTGCTATTTACATATGAATTACTGATAATTTGAAAATGTGTTATGTTTGAATTTTAGTGATGATGATATGTAAAACTGATAAATGCTGCTTTCCAAATTGCCTCAGTCCTATTAGAAAGCTTTAGAAAACTAGGCTCTTAGATTTATAGCCTTAATTATCCACAAGATTACCATATGACGGGCGCTCATTTTCAACTTATCTAACTGAAATAATATTAACTTTTTAAAGCAAATCTCATCTGGTCTTCTAATAATAAAATGGTTTTATTTTTGTTTTTTTGTTTGTTTGTTTGTTTTGTTTTTTGTTTTGTCTTTTAGTAACTTCTGAATTCTCCCTACCTGAGAAGTTCAGAAGCTACTTACTCATACTTCTAACTCTGTTACTGATAAAAACAAATCAAGAACTCAAAGCTCGGCTAATATAAGGGAAACCAATATTAGATTTGGACTTAAGCTAGATAAAGCCAGCTTTTTTAGAAGGGTTAAGAAATAGTTCAATTAACTGTATAGGCCTCTCATTAAACTGAGAAATTACTTGAAGTTTTTTAGAGCACTGCTATTTGTGGCATTTGTCTCAGAATAGCTTGTGACTGCTTTGGTTCTAGGATTTTCACCAGTCATGTTTTAAGTTACATTAGATAGACTGAGTTGTTTTAGTCTGGCAAGTTCATAAAGTTTACTTGTGTATAATGATTGTTAAGGTAATGTATAGCATTGGTGGTATCTGTCTAAAAAGTTTTGACTATCTGATTTAGATGTATAATTTCTATATACTTATGCTGCTTATGTATCAGTCATTGCAGTGAAAGTCCACATAGAAATAATTCAGAAACGATTTGCTGAAACATTTTAGAGTTTAATAAGTTTATATGTGAAGTACCACACATCTGCTATTGTACAATGATTGATAAATTAAAACTGCAGTAGCTCTAGAAAGACACAGGGCTCTATGCTTATGTACGAAGTCACTATTGCACATACTTTGTTGACTATTTTGTAAATTGTATTTACAAAAAAGATACTTTCTTAAGAGCATATGTTATTACTATTTGATATGATTTTAAAGTCAGAATATTGATGACTACCTTAGTATTATATTGTAGCCTAGGTTAATTAAAATTGAATGCTTAAAGAGATTTTTGAGTTGCAAAAAGATTATACGTGCAAGTTTAAAAGACAAGCATTTATTTTCTGAGTCTGCAGGAGAAATAAGCCAAACACATAGTTTTATAGTCGCTACCTTGTTAAGCAAATGGGTTGTTCTTAATATTAAAAATCTTATGTAGCTGTGTTAAACTGAACCAGTGCATTACACCTTATACATTAAATTAAATATTATAAGGTAGTTTTACTTGTCTTATAAAGCTAAATATAAATCTGTTATAATAAACATGAAAAATGTTTTACTTAAAGAAATTACTATATTATTTGTTGTGATGTACTTTTATTTACACTTAGTTATCACTTGAGGACTTCCCTCCTGCGTTAAGATTCAGTTGCAGAGGACAGAATTCACTCTAATTAGTTTAAGTCAGGAAAAGATTTATTAGCAGACATTAAGTAGCTTACACAATTATCTAGAGGACTGACTCTAAATTGAGCTTTCAAGAACAGCTTCCAAAGCTATACCACAGAACCAGGCCACCAAGGGAGTTGCTGATTCTTCTACAATTAGGAAACTGCTACTTCCTCCTGCCATGATGAAAAGCCAACACTACAGCTGCTGCCTCCAGAGCCATAATCCACCAGCTATGATTTGCACCAGCAAAGTAGATGCCAAGCCTCTCAGTACCCACAGCTAGTGATTAAATTGCAGTAGAACAAACAAACACCTAAACAACAATTTTTATCAGCAGAAATGGCAGTAGCGTAGCCTCCACCTTCCTTCTGTCATCCAAGTCTCACAAGTATGCATCTGATTGGTCTATAATATATACCGAATCCTAGTTGCAGGGGAATCTGAGAAAAGTCCTTCTAGCTTTTTAGCCTCCGTAGTACAGGAAGGCACTAAGAGGCTGGAATGGATATCGGACACCCTATTTGTTTTCTATTGCTGTGTGACAAATTACCACATACACATTTATTATCTTACCATTTCAGTGAGTCAGGACTCTGGACTCAGCTTAGCTGGATCCTCTGCTTAGGATCTCACAAGACTGCAACCAAGGTGTCAGCCAAGCTAGTTCCCATGTAGAGGCTCAACTGGGGAAGAATCCACTTCCAAGCTCACTCAGGCTGTTGGCAGAATTTATTGTTTTATGATTGTGATCTGGAGGCTCCAACTTTTTGCTGGTAGTCAGCTGGAAGCTATCCTCATTTCCTAGAGACTTCACTCAGCTCCTAGCAGCTGTCCTGAGCTTCTTCAGGCTGCCCAAAGTTCCTTGCCATGTGGGCTTCCCCAAAATGGCCACTTACTTGATCAGTCCAGCAAGAAGTCTCCAGAGCTAGTTTGCTAGCAAGACAGTGTCCTGTATAATGTAACATAATCTCACAGTGGTGACATCTGATCTCCTTTGCCATATTCTGTTGGTTAAAGGCAGGTCACAGGTCTCACCCACTCTCAAGAGGAGAGGATTACAAAATGGCATGAACATCAAGAGGCAGGATCATAGATGCCAAAGAGTATTTCAAATGGCTGTACCAATTAATACTTCAATCAATCATAATTAACAGTTCTGGTAGCTCTGCATCCTCACCAACACTTGGAAAGGTCTGCCCTTTTTCATCTTAGCTATCCTGGTGAGTGTATAATGGTATCTCATTGTGGTTTTAATTTAGATGTCCTTGATTTTTTAAAAAAATGTAAACTACTGAGGTATAATTTGCATGCAAATTAATGCACTCATTTAACATGTACATTTTGATGAGTTTGACACATTTATACACTTTTATAACCAACCACACCATAGTCAAGGCATAAAACATTTTCATCACCCTAAAAAGTTCTCCTGTTCCCCAACCAGGTCAACTTCTCTTACCCCTAGGCCCAGGCAACTCTTGATCTGCTTTCTGTCATATATTAATTTTATCTTTACTAGAGTTTCATTGAAATTGAGTTACACAGTAATTTCTCTTTTATGTCTGCCATTTCTCAGCATAGTTTAAGATTCATCCATGCTATTGCCTATATCAGAAGTTTATTCTTTTTAGTATTTCATTACTGTGAATATACCACAATATGTATATCCATTCACCTGTTTATTGTCATTTGAGTTGTATCCAGGTTTGGCTATATGAATAATGTTGCTAGGAACATTTGCATACAAATCTTTTTGTGAACATGTTTTCATTTCTCTAGGATAAGTACCTAAGAACGGGATTGTTGGGACATGTAAATATTTTTTTTAACCTGATAAGGAACTTCCAAACTGTTTTCTAGATTAGGTATATTATTTTGCGTTCCCATCAGCAATATATGAGAGCTCCAATTGCTCCACATTCTCACCAGCAGTTGGTGTTCCTAAATTTTGTCTTTAGAATTTTGGCCATTCTAGAAAGTGTGTAGTAGTATTTCATATTGTAGTTTTAATTTGTAGTTCACTGATGACTGTTGGTGTTCAGCATCATTTAATGTATGTATGGGCCATTCTTACATCTTATTTTTTGAAAAGTTATAATCCTTTATGATTTTTAAAATTTTTTTCCAGTTTCATCGAGAAATAATTTACATAGATCACTATATAAGTTTAAGGTATATATCAAGATGGTTTGATTTACATATATTGTGAAATGATTTACCACAATAGGTTTAGTTAGCATCCATTTCATTTAGATACAATAAAGAAAAAAATTTTTGTGTGATGAGAATTCTTAGGATCTATTCTCTTAACAACTTTCCTATGTATTATACAGCAGTGTTAACTGTAGTCACCATGGTGTACATCACATCTCTAGTATTTATTTATCTTATAACTGGGACTTAGTGCCTTTTGGCTACCTTCCTCCAATTCCCCCTTCCCACACCCCCAGTCTTCGGTAACCACAAATCTTGGCTACTGTAAGTAATGTTGCTATGAACATGAGGGTGCAGATATATTTTTGAATTAGTGTTTTTGTTTCCTTTGGATATATTTCTAGAAGTGGGATTGCTACATCATATGGTAGATCTATTTATAATTTTTTGAGGAAACAGTATTATTTTCCATGTCTGTACCAGTTTACACTTCCACCAACAGTGTACAAGGGTTCTCTTTTTTTCACATCCATGCCAGTATTTGTTATCTCTTGTCTTTTTGATGATGGCCATTCTAACAGGTATGAGTTGGTATCTCATCGTGGTTTTAATTTGCATTTCCCTAATGACTAGTGATGTTGAGCACCTTTTCATGTACCTGTTTGTCATGTGTATGTCTTTAGAGAAATGTCTATTCAGGTCCTCTGCCTATTTTTTTTTTAATTGGATCATTTGGTTTTGTGTTTGTTTGTTTGTTGCTATTGAGCCATACGAGTTCTTTAGATATTTTAGATATAAACCCCTTATC